AAGAACACCATGCCGACCCCAAACCAGGCCTGTGCTAGGCACCTTCTTTATGTTATCTGTAATCCCTGCAATAGTCCTAGAAGGGAAGTATTCTTTATCCACAAGGAGGCTGAGCTCAGCAAGTTTAAGAAATGAGCCTGAGGTCACTCATCCCTACCTCGTTGAGTGTCAGAGCCCAAACTGTAAACTCCCAAACCAGTGCTGCGTCTACTATACATAACTTTACACCACACATTCTAAAATACTCTCAAATTGCAGTTCTCTTACTGGGGATGGTGTGTGCATGCCTGTAGTCCCCGCTATTCAGATGATGGAAGTAGGAGGATCACAATAAAGGGCTAGCCTGGGTAAAATCAGAAGACTGTATCTGAAAAATAAACTAAAAGCCAAAAGACTGGGGTGTGGCTCAAGTGGTAGAGCAGTGGCCTACCAAGCATCAGGCCCTGAGTTCAATCCCCAGTACTGCAGCAAAAAAAAAAAAAAAAAAAAAAGCCAAAAACAGTTCTCTCCTTGATAAAAGCTATCTGTATAGCTAGTGCCTGACTAGGCAGTTACGTAAGGGAAAACCCAAGTATCTCTTAGGAAGATTTCCCCTTGCTTTGCAGAAAGAGTTTAAAGATTTGTCTCTTGACTCACTTGAACTTCCAGGATCCCTTCCAGTCCTCTGATTCCATAGGCAGATTTTTAACAAGTCTTTTCCAGGCTCTGCTGTCTGATGAGGTCTCTGTTATTTTTATCTTCCTGATTTCGTTTGTTTTTCCTTCAAATGTTCTCACACATGCCTGGCTGATGGGATGCGTTTCTGGCTGCGCCATTTTTATTCTCAGTGTTTTGTGTGTGCGCTAATTCTCAGGGGTACCCAGGAGAAACGTCCAGCGGGTTCTTGATTAGCAGACACTGCCCTGTCTCTGCAACAACCATCTAATCACCGCTTGCCCTTGCCAAGAAATGAGGGAAGCATTTGCATCTGGAAAACCAAGCTACAACACATGAAGCCTATTAAAAACGCCTGTCTCCCCAAGTCCCCATGAGCGTTGCTCATCTCAGCTTGTTTTCCTTAAAGATAGAAACTGCACAGCAGTATTTGTAGTTAGGCCTAACAAGTGCCCTGACTTGCCTGACTAGATTTCACTTCGGCCATCACAACTTCATGACCCATAAATTATGTTGTGAGTAATCTTTGAAATGGTATGACATATGCAGCCAGCATTTGTTTTTTTAGTTGTTGCAGTATTTCGCTGTTTATTTTAAGAGGAAATTTATGATTGGTAAGTGTTTAACATGCAAATAATGATGTGATCCAAGGAGCTCTGGGGAAGGCAGATGCAGCGCTGCTGATGCAAGTGAGAAAAAACACAAAGATGAAGTTCATCCTTAGCTACGCAGATATTTAAAGATGCACACCGTCCTCAGGCTCAGTGTATCAAATCATTGCATTATCACTTAGTTTCATTAAAAAAAAATAGCAAATAACAGCACTGGGCATGGTGGTGCGTTCCTGTAATTCAGGCACTCAGGAAGCTGAAGCAGGCCACCCTGAGCTACCTATGGCAAAACTCTACCTCCAGTAAATAACCCAACAAACAAACAAAAATTGTTGCTTCTGGTTCCATTTCGTGGACAGTCCCAGGTCCTTAAAATACTCAAAGGTGATCGTGCCCAAGTTCATTGTCTTGGATTTGGAGGGTTTGCAAGTGTTGTATTCATTTGTGTGAACTTTAAATGCCTTTGATCATCCGGGAAGCTATACCTTAGCATTTAAATAGAAACAAATAAGAACCACATGTTTAAATGGGAGTTAGACTTAAGATTTGCATATCAAAAACACATGAGTTTTTCCCCCCTCTATGCAGCTTTCTCATGGATCACTTGAGTTTCAAACCATCTTATAGCTTTATGTAGGATGACTGCAAGTACATAGTATATAGTAGGTAAAAACCGTAAAATTTTAATGAATACTTTATAAAGCCAGTTTTCCCTTTGGTTCTGAAGAGTTTGGGCTTTTTTTAAACCACAGAAAACTAGGCTGAGTTTAAGTTCCATGGAACGTACAGGTAGATCCTCTACATCTGTTCCAAATTAGCATCATCGTCATAAACTTACTCTCCATGGCTTCCTTTGGCATGTAAGATTACATTTTAGTTGGGAAATTAGATCTAGTGGGAAAACTCTGCACATTGGTACATATCATTCATATCGGTAAATTGGATGAATATATGGATGGATGGTTGATGGATGAATGGGTGGGTGGATGAATGGATGTGTGGGTGAATGGAAGTGTGGATGAATGGGATGATGGATGGGTAATTTCCTTACAACAAAATATGCTGAAGAAGGATTCAAGTTAACCTATGCTGAGAGAACAAGGACAGGCAGGAAAATGTGTGGCTGGAGGAAGGACATTCACAGCTATTTTGCTCGGGTCCTTTTGGGAACATTCCAATGCCACTGTTTCCGTAATGAAAACCTACTTCTATGCTTCTGGACTAAGCTGTCTGCCACAGCTGGGCTGTGTGAGAGAGTCATGAAATGAAGCTCCTATACCCAAACTTGGTTTCAGAATGCTCTCTTACAACTTTTATAAATCATATGACTTTTTAATAAAATTTTCATAACATTTATAAATTAAGGATTTAATTACATTTTTAATAAATTTTGTTTTAGGACGAGACTACTTATGTTTCTCCTATGAATGAGAATTCACACACTAGACAAGCCATACAAATTGATTTGACCAGCAGTGTAGGTAGATTGTACCAATTTGCAAAAGTAGAAAATAATTGTTACTTTTTATTGAAATGTAGTAGAAAAAAACAAACTCAAATCTAGCAGAATTCTTTTCAGACTGAGGCCTTCTCTGACCTGGTTGAGGGTTCTGACCATTTGATGCAGGTGAGAACTTGCTTTCAGACTGAGATTATACGTAATTTTCCACATCAATAGTGGTGCCCTTTGGTCCTCTACAACATGCAAATGGCCTGTCCACACAGAGGAACTGATGGGCTGCAGGTGAGGTATAGTCCCCAGCTGATAGACTACTTGACTTACCCACCAGGGAAAGGAGTCCAAACCCAAGTGAGAATGATGTTGCAACAGGAATGTAAATGCTGTATACTTACAAAGAAATGGTTTCTTAAATGGCAGTTTAGCATTTCAATCATCTGGAAATACCTTGGGGTGTATTCTTGAGGTTCGCAGATTCACTGAATCCTGCTTAATTCTTGACCTCTGATGTGAGGTGTTGGACATGGTAAAAAGGAAGCTTATGTGGACTCAGGCTAGGAGAGAAGGGAAGGGAAAGTACTGGAAGCAGGAGACATGAAGGGACAGAGAGGATGTTTGTGCCAGCTCCAGAGGAAATGTCGTTTTATTACCATTTCACATGTAGAAACTTTGTTACCTCTGCCATTTTCCCTAAAGTTACCATAGTTATTACATCTACAAGCATCATGATTCTTTTAACAAGAATGTTACAGTTTTGCTCAACAAAAATTAAGAGCAAAAAAGAGGCTTTTACATATACCCAGCTATTTAGCATTTATGGTAGTTTTTATTCCTTCCTATAGACTCAAGTTTCCCTCTGGTATAATTCCCTTCATTCTGAAGAACTGCATTTAGCATGCCTCCTAGTATAGGATGATGAATTCTTTTTTTTTTTTATATGTGCATACAGTGTTTGGGTCATTTCTCCTCCCTTCCCCCCCCAGCCCCCTTCCTTCGCCCCCCTGCCCCGCCCTCTCCCCCCTACCCCCTTACTATCAGACAGAAACTATTTTGCCCTTATCTCTAATTTTGTTGAAGAGAGAGTATAAGCAATAATAGGAAGGTCTCATTTCACCTTCCTTCCTGTAGATGGACCATAGGACCAGATATAAGACAGGTTTGCTTCATTGGCACTTAAGATGTCAGGCTACTATCTCTTTCCCTGTATATAGTAAGTAATCTGTATCTGTCTGCTCTCCGGATTTTATCTTTTGTTTTCAGCAGTGCAAGTTTGACATCTCCAGCCATTCTGTGTGCATATGTATATTTAACCCATTTGGTATTAAACTTCTTAATCTGTAAGTTTGTTTCACTAAATTTGAAGAGTTTGGGCTGTTTTTCAAACACATTTTTCTACTCCATTCACTCTCTCCTCTCCTTTTGGAATTGCAAATAACCATACATTAGAACTTCTGATAGCTCACAAACCCCTGCATCTTTATTCATTTTTAAAATGAATTTTTAAAATATTTTTTCTCTCTTCTTCAAATTGGATAATTTCCATTTATGTTTCAAAGTCACTAATTCATTCCTGTGTCATCTCTCCATTCTTCTGTGAAACACATCAGCAGGGTGTATTTGTTTCATTTCAAGTATGTTTTACAGTTCTGGAATTTTCATTTTGTTCTTTTAGTAGTTGGTTTCTCTGATGAGATTTTCTGCGTATTTATTCATTGTATTTTCCTTTATCTCAATGGAGCATAGTTACATAGGTGCTTTGAAGTTGATAATTCTGACATACAGGTTGCCTGGGAGTTCCATGGTCCCTCCCTTGAGAGTGGGTCGTATCTATACAGGTATGTTGCAGAGATCCTGCATTGTGTCCTCATTCAGAGAGTGCAGATAATTTTCTTCTAACAGGAAATTTACTTGGTTAGACTACAAGTGAAAACTCTGGCTTGAGATAGTAGCAACTCAAGTCCTACTCAGCTCCTTTCATGGTCCTCTATGTAATGTAAGTACATTGACATCCAGAGATAATTAATTCACTTCAAAGGATTCACAGGTTGATTTCATATCTTATGTGGCAGATCCTGATATTGGAAGATATGGCCATGTAATTTTGATAATATTTTTCTTGTTACTCTCAGGTTGTGCTAAAAATATTCCTACCTCACTTTATGTCTCAGGTTTTCCTGAGCATAAGTTAATTTCATTCTAAAACAGAAACTGAAAAAAATTTTTTCTTTTAATCTGACATTACATTTAAAATACTTCTTTGTCTGTTTGTCTCTTAGGAAAAAATGCTGCAAAGGGTATAAATTTGTTCTTGGACAGTGTATCCCAGAAGGTATGTAATATTAAAATGATCTTTTATCTTGTTCATGATTAATCATTGGAAGTCTATAAAGTCCAGGTGTTCATGGGATGTATTCGAGTTGTCCGTGTCCTGTTTTCTGTGTTTATGTACAATCCTCTTTTTTGGCTTTAAATTCTTCCAGTGCTGATTTGGCTGTGTATAGTATGCTCTGTCTAAATCACTACATGATGTACTTACACACATTGAGTCATTCCTCAGTTCAGGTTTATGCTTAATAAGCTGTAATTCCCCAGTCAACATTTCACACACCAATTATGACACAACTGTCCTCCCTGATCACGCTACCTACTTTTCAGGTGGCAAACTTTAAGCCCCTTTACCTGACCATCAGGAGACACTGCTCAGCCCAGCATAGAGCTCAGAGATGCGAGGCCTGGACCCACCTTCCAGGTGCACACTCAGAGTGAGATGGGAGGTGGATCATATGGAATCAGATAAAGTTACATTTTAATCATGCCTCCACACCCTACTCGTTATGACCATGGCCACATTACCTTCTAACGCTTGGTTTTTACAGGTAGGTAATGTACTCAGGTATAGGGGTCTTCAATGAATTTTGCCACAGGTAAAGTACTTGAAACAGTGACTGGTTCTTCTTCTCTTTCCTCCTCCTCCTCTTCTTCCTATTCTTTCTTGCCTTCCTTCCTTCCTTCTGAAGTACTGGGGCTTGAATTCAGGCCTTGTACTTATTAGGCAGATGCTCTATCATACCTTCAGTCCTTTTTGCTTTAGCTACTTTTGGGATGGGTCTTACTTTTTTCCCATGCTGGTCTTGACAGCAACCCTCCTATTTATGTTTCATGCATAGCTGAGATGACAAGTGTGTGCCACCATGCCCAGCTGTTGGTTGAGATGAGGGACTTGCCTACTTTTTCCCTTGGGTGGTCTTTAAACCTCTAGCCTCCTGATCAGTGCCTCCTGAGTAGCTAGGATTACAGGCATGAGCCACCGCCCTCAGCCAGTGTCAAATTCTTATTAAGTACTTGATAAATGAAGTCTGCTATGATTGCTGCTGTTATTGTTAGTAACTGTGACCTGTGCCATAGAGACATTCCCCCACCCACCCCCCCCTCCCCTGCGCCGCGTCGTCTTGCAATTCTCTCTGTTTTAACTAAGATGCTTGAAGGAAGGTAGTGATACCAGGAAGCGGAGTATGTGATCGTAGCTTGTAATCTAAATGGATCACTCTTAGGTGTGTACGACAATTGGCGCAACACAGACTTGAGGTTTTGTAGTGTGGTGTAGGTTGAATAGCTATATATCATCTACCGTGGTGGGATTCGATGTGTACTGATTCAAAGATAAGCGGAATGAACGGTAGTCGCATATGAAGCAGGTGTTCAGAGCAAGTACATCCCAGAGAACCAGGTGGTCAGAGGCAGGCTTAGGAAGGAGTGGAGGCTTCAACCAGGTTGTCAAAGAAGCTTGCCCAGGACTTAGGCAAGAGGGAAGACAGGCCGCAAAGGACTGCAGACAGAGCACGTCACAGAAGACTGTCTCAAGAACCTGGGGCTGGAGTAGGGTTGGGGAATGGGGTATGTGAAGTGGATTTCTTCCTGGTACCCGGGAAGCCAAGTCTCTCTAGAGGTTGGGGAGCCTGGCCAAGCTAATTCTGTTGCACTGTCTCATGGAGTGAAGTTTCTTTATCACTTAGGAATAGATCAATCATTCCTAGCTATGCTTCTCTTCCATGGTAGGTTGGAAGGCTTCATTAAACCATACTTGGGACCTGTGAGAAAGCTACCACAGGAAGGCTGATTGGAAGTCATTCCACATGGTGGTCGATGTGGCTTTGGGTATCTCTAAGCTGAATATCTCTGACAGCCAATTCTGTTGGCTGGAGTCTGATGGAAAAACCCACAAAAGTCAGAAGAGTTGCATTCCTTTATAGGCCAGCTCTTTTCAGTCATCAGCTGTGACCTCTGTATTACAGTTTGGCAGCTACCAGTGAAAATTAAGTTTAGGTCAATCAATTTAAGATCCTGGCTAAAGACCTTGCCCAATCTAATTTAAAACACATGGATACCACATAATTAGTGTTTCTTTAACTGTCAGGTGTTGTGGTTTCAAATGTCTAGGCCTGAAATCAGTCTCCCTCACCTTCAGAACCACAGAACTCTATGATTAATGTAAACAAGAACTGAGTATTTCCAGGAAGAGTAGCACTCAAGTGTGGGATGTTGTTCCATATAACTCTTTGCTCTATTGCTTTTCATTAGAATACTTTTTTAAAGTTGACTTGTTTCAATCCATGGAAATAAAACATGATTATCTGTTTAGTTTACTAAAGATGCCTTTAGTCATAAAGGTTTCTATCAGTCAAAAGTGCAAAGTTCAAGTGTAGGATTTCAAAAAAAGATAGTACTTTATATGTCTCTAGAGACACAGAAGCAGTAGGATATATGTTTGAGGACACACACAGAACAAGAGATAGAGAGACAAAAGTTTAGATTTCTTTCATGACATTGTGAAGAAATGAGCCAACAGGCTGGAGACCCAGAAAGTCAATATTGCAGTTCAAGTCCAAAGGCAGGCAGTCTCCAGGAAGAACTACCTCTTCATCATGTAAAATCAGTCTTTTTTTCTAGTAACTTTTAATTGTTTGGATGTGGCTGCTTCTTTGCCTGTGGATGACAGGTATGAGGAGTCCAGTGTCCAGGTAGCATCCTTGTTCATCCATTAGGATCATTCCTCCCTTTGCAACAAAGTCCTCTAAACCAGGAGAGAATGAAGTCACAGGAACAGGAAGCAAAACTTTTGCTAGTGGATCAGTAGAGGTAATTGTGAGTATTGCCACCCTTTGATTCCTGGACCTGCGAACTCTGGTTATGGAAGAAACTGTACCATACATTGGACGCTAATTCACAGTGTGCACATTCTCCTGGTAAATCTTTCCCTATATCAAATGTCTGGTTCCGCCAAGCTGATTGATAAAATTAATCATCATGTATACCAAAAAGAGACTAAAGACTGGGTACGGTGGCTCATGCCTGCAATCCCAGCTCTTCAGGAGGTGAAGATCAGGAGGATCACAGCTAACCTGGGCAAAAAGTTCTCAATCAATAAGCCAGGTATGGTGGTGCGCATCTGTGATCCCAGCTATGCCAGAAACTATAGGTAGGAGGATGATAGTCCGAGGCAAAATGCAAGACCCTATCTGAAAAATGAATAAAGCAAAAAAGAGGTAGAGGCATGGCTTAAGTGGTAGACACCTGCCTAGCAAGTGGGAAACCCTGAGTTCAAACTCCAGAGAGAGAGAGAAAAAGACAGAGACAGAGACAGACAGACACTAGAGTTTCTAAACAAATATGCTATCTGGTGAGTGGAAACTGCAAATACTAGTTTGAACACAGGGCCTGGCACATACTAGGCAAACACTGTACTAATTGAGCTATGCCCCAGACCTTTTGCTTTTATTCTGTTTTTGAAATAGGGTCTCAATAACTTTGCCCAGGCTGGCCTCAAACTCATGAATAGCTCCACTTCCTGAATAGCTGGGATTGTAGGCATATGCTACCCACCCCACTGGAAACTGCAGTTTATAAAAATGTCATTGCCTCGTATTTGTTACTCTTAAGTCAGGGGTCAGTGAACTATGGCCTGTAGGGCAAAACTGTCCACAACCTGATTCTGGAAGTAAAATTTTATTGAAATACAGTCACACCCATTCATTTAGTACTGTCTCTGCCTTCTTTTTTCCCCCTGTCTTCTTTGGCATGATGGCAGTGACGCGAATAGTTACAATAGAGGACCCATCCAATTTCCAGAGAAAGTTTGCCGATCCCTGCTGAAACTTGATTGCCAGGTGACAGGATGATCTCATTGGTTTTAACCCCACAGCTAAGAATTGATAAACATGAGTATGCAAGTATTGCCGTTGTACACAAACTTTGATTCCTTCACATATATACCTGGGAGTGGTATATCTGGGTCATGTGGTAGCTCTGTTTTTATCTTGTTGAGGAGTCTTCATGCTAATTTGGACAGTGGCTGCACTAATTTGCATTCCCACCAAAAATATATAAGGATTCCTTTTTTCACTCACATTCATTGCAGCACTATTCAGAATAGCCAGGTTACAGCGTCAGCCTAGGTGCCCTTCAACCAATGAATAGATAAGAAAAGGAGGTGTATATACATCATATATATATATAATAGAGTATTGCTCAACTATAAAGAACAAAATCATGTCCTTTGCAGAAAAATGAATGGAACCAGAGATCATTGTTAAGCTAAATGAGCCAGACTCAGAAAGACAAATATCATGTATTTTCTCTCATATACAAAATCTATTTTTTTTAAAAGTCATGGAAATAGAAGAGGACTATTTGCAAAGAGGAAGGGGACAGGAGAGGGTAGTGGGTGTGAATAAGATCACAATCTGTTAAATGCATGCATGAAAATGTCATATGAAACCCATTATTTTCTACAGTTAGAATTCACTAAAAAAATTAAAGAATTGCTCATAGGCTTTGGGGAGGGAGCCTTGCTGATTACTCTCGGGATGCAGTACCTGCCAGGTAGCCAGCCCATCATAAAAAGCAGTGGCAAGAGAAGCAGAAGAGCAGGGGAAGTTGTCCTGCATGTTAATCACTGTTAAATACATCACCCCATTTCATCTTTATTTTTAAAAGCACCATAAAAAGGTATTGTTCTCAGTATTTTACAGGTGAGGAAATTAAGGTTTAAGGAACCTGAGATCACCCAGGCCCAGTGGCACACACCTATAATCCAAGCACCTAGGAGGATGAGACAAGAAGATGAAAGTTCAAGCCCAGCTTGGGCTATGTAGTAAGACCCTGTTTAAAAAAAAAAAGAAAAAAGAAAAAGGATCACAGAGGGGCCAAGATGGGAAGGCGGGCATTCAGTGAATATGGCAGAGCACATGAGTGAAACAGACTGAGTCCTGTGGGTGTTGATAGGTCAGACATCTAGATTGTGCTGAGGAGGTCAGGACAGGCTTGCCACTG